TCCTAGGCATTTATCCCGCAGTCCTTGGATATGACTTTTGCGGCACGGTGCTCAAGGCTCCTACCAGATCGGCATTCCAGCCCGGAGATCTAGTTGCTGGATACACACCTACTGGGATAAACCGACCGCCCAAATACGGTACCCATCAGCGATATTTGGCATGTCCCGAGGATATGCTCTTCCCAGTCCCTGCAGCACTACCACCACACCATGCTGCGAGTTTGACGGTGGTGGCCATGACTGCTGCGGATGCTCTATATAATATCTTCAACCTCCCTCTGCCGCATGAGCATGACACTCAAGCGGCAACTCCGAAGTCCTTGTTGATTTGGGGCGCCTCATCGAGCGTTGGTCTCTGTGCTCTCCAGCTCGCCCATGCCAGTGGTATACATCCGATCATCGTCACTGCTTCCCCAGAGAGGCACTCCCTACTACAGGAGCTCGGAGCCACTCACTGCTTTGACTACAAGTCTTCCAGTGTTATTTCGGATATTAAAGCGATCGTGAGAGATTCTCAGCAGGGACCATTGACATGCGGATTTGATGCAGTTGGGAGCCAAAAGGGAGGTGTCAGCTCCGCACAGCAAGTTGCTGAGTGCTGTTCGGAGGATGCAACGCTTGTATCTGTTGTTGTTCAGAGTGACTCCAAATTCAAGATGCCTATTGCCACCCCGAACAGGGATGTGGTTATCAAGGTCCAGGATGTGCCATTCCCGATCACGATCCCTGCAAGACCGGCAGATTATCAGCGTGCGTGGCGTGCGCTGACCTGGGCTGTGGAGAATTATGGTGTTAATTTTCGACTGCCTTCTGTCGATGTATTTGAAGGGACGGCAGAAGACGCGATGGAAGAGTTGAAGGCGATAGCAGATGGAGGAAGGTTTGGGAAGCTGGCGTTGAGGCATCCACTACAGTAGTTGCAATTAGGTATCTGAGATTGAGCAATCGAGCTGTAAAACTCCAGGTAGTTGAAATAGATTTCAAGCTCAGCAATATGAATAAGGGGAGTCTCATTAACTAAAGATCAATGTATGATCGAACAAGGCCCTATATTGGTTGTTGCTGTTTACCTCGGTTGAAAGCGATGAATAAGAGAATATGGGGTGGCGGGATGTGGGGGCTTGCGTCAGTGAACCCCGACTTGTACGGCACGTGGTTTCCGAGTCTGCAACTGGTCCTTCTGCTTCACCAACCCAGCAATCTGTACCTGAGTATGGAAGCCCCAACAGCAGATGGGCCGGACACGTCGGGAAGATGGACGTGTGGATTCTGCCCAGAGAGTTTTGCCCGAAAAGAGCATCTCCAACGACATGAATTCAGCCATCTCGGATTGAAGCCGTTCCGATGCGATGTGTGTTCTCGCATGTTTTCTAGAAGGTTTGTGTCCTCATCATATAGCTAATCTCACTAGTATATCATTGAGAATATTAACTGTTGCAGGGATACTTTGAGGAAACACCAAGCCACTCATTCGAGAGAAAGTGATGGTGAAGAACCACCTTGCACCCGGAATCGTCGGAGGTCCCAGAAAGCATGCCTGAATTGTGCCAAGGCAAAGCAACGTTGCAATGGCAAGTCGCCGTGTCGTAGATGTGTTAAGCGAAACATACAATGTGCATTCCCAAGACCAATCTCTGCATCGGAGGATTCTCTACTATTAGAGACGCCGGAGTTTGTTCATTCTACGCTCCTCCTGGATGACAATCCTACACTCATCTCGGGTGGCAGTGGCGATCATGCCACCTTCGACGAACAACATGTACGAGCCGACCACTTTTCATTTGAAGATTTGGCAGCTACTACAGAATCGGGCGAGCGACTTCGAGAAGACTTTAGCATGTACCCTATCGGTCACCCAGGTGAAAATGCTATTCATCCGCATGTGTTATCACTACCTAACCAAGGGTTAGGCGACGCCATGGCAGTGGACACGAGCATAAATCTACCGTCAGGAGGATCAGTCACTTCACTCTCCACCCGGGAAGACAACGATGATATTCCTTCGTCGCAAAGTGATTTTTCCATGCCAGAAGAATATCGTGCTCACCGGGACTGCTGCACTCGGTTTCCGGAAACTCAGCCGGATGGAGACTTAATTGTAGCTGAGAATTACGGGAATGTTACTCCCATACCAGACAAGCAATATCGACAGATATGTGATTTCTGGAAGAGCCAGCAATGTTCCTCGTGTGCATCACCTTTCATCAGCCTTTCCTTCTTGAACGCGATGGTCCAGCTCTACTTCGAGCACCATGATCCTTGGATGTCTATCATCCATCCATCATCTTTCGACACAGAAGATGCCTCATGGGTCCTTATATTAGCGGTGGCATCTGTCGGGTGCCAATACTCTAATGTGGAGCGTTCGGAGCTTTATGTCTTATGTCTACAGGACCTTCTACAGAAGGCGCTTCCGAAGGATGTAAGTTGCCTTAAATTCACTATCTATTTCAGTGTAGCTGACTCGCTAGGCCACGGAAACGATGGCTCTTGACCAAATGACTCTTGCGCAGTGTCTTCTTTTACGCAATACAGTTCTTCTATTCAGCGGTTACGAAGATGAGATTCTTACGTCCCAATACCAGAGGAACATGCTCGCTTCAGTTGCTAAATCAGTTTCTGCCAACGCTGCTGAAAGTATACCTTCACCAGATGATTTGGACCCATACGAGAAGTGGCGTCGCTGGGTGAGGTTAGAGTCTCAGAGAAGAATTGTCTACTGCATTTACGGTGAGAACACTTGATATACCTCGGCATCACATGACTTATTTGAACGATACAGTGATCGAATGCTGCTATTGGATATTCAAAGATGCCCCTTCATCAATGACTCTCGACGATTTCAAGATAGCTCTTCCATGCCGAGACAAGTTATGGACATCCAATTTCGAACAATGGCAGGAATGTCTGCCAATAAGACCAGGTGAGCAGCCATTAGACCAATGATTTCATTACTTTGATTTTCTATTGTTTCATCTCCAACTTCGAGAGACCTAACCTGGTATAGAACCAAAAGACAGGCCGAGTCTGAAAACCGCATTTTCTAACCCAGACTTGCTCGACAACCTCCTCAACGACAACTCCGGCCTCAGCAACCTAGTAATACTTCTAACATTCAACGTCGAAGAAAGGCGCCTCTTACGATCCACCCAGCCATGGTTCGCAGCCGACATAGCCACAGGCCTCAACGAGAGGAAGCTATATAAATGGCCGGACGAACTAGTATCCTTTCGAACAGCCCTAGACGATAAATGCGACCCTACAATCAAACGTTTCTCTATGCTCACACCCATAGTAAACAACGCACCTACCTTCCTAAAAGTGATGTTCCACGTCACCAACATACTCCGACGCACACCACTACGCTGTCTATACGCCTTGAGCGGATGGCAAGTCACAGTGGACCAGATGACCGCCGCCGCTACATCCCTATCACACTGGATGCAGCAGAATCCGACACTAGCCCGAGAAGCCCTTCTACAGGCGACTACGTTATTTGGAGTTCTCTATGACGAGACCACAGGACCAGGGAGTCACCACTTGGCCTTTCTCACCGCGAGTCTCTATATCTGGGCTTATTGTATCGTGGGCGGAGAAGACGGCGCTGCGGGAGCGAACGGAACAAGTAAAATCAGTCAACGACCGTTGAGACCTGATAAAGGTGTCCCAGATGATGTGAAAAACTCCTGGATCCAAGGCACCCTCGAAGCTCCTATATATGTCAAAGGAGTGGGTATTTTGAACGGCCCCGAGAGTGCGATTCGTGTCCTTAAGGGCTTTAGACTCGCCTTGTCGAGTCATAGATCTTGGCCTTCGCTTCGGCATGGGTTGATATACTCTATTTCGGAGGTCATAGATGGTAGGTTTGCGTCGCTTAACCCGGAGTTGAAGTCTAGTGGGTGGAGGAAGAACGTGGATAGAGAAACTCGAGCATAGATACACGCGAATGATTGAAAGATGCGATTATGCTTAATTTTCCTGTGTGGGAAATTAGCAGGGCGCTTTTCGCTCTATCACGCGTCAGGACAATTATCAGCACGAATTGCGCAGATACAATACAATGCCCACCCCTTTTGTATATTCTAACTATAAACATTTGCGCATCCCCTTCCAGTGCTTATATAATGGGACGTAAGGGGGGTGATGTTATGCTCCCTGTCGGGTGCAGCGGCCCGATGCACGTCCAGTGCAGGCTGCGTGGATTCAATCAACATGGCACATAGAGCATGAGCATGGTGCAGACGGAAATAGTGACTATATGAAGTTATGAGATTATTTCAGGTTCGATGTGTACTTTTTATGACTTATATCTATTGGCCTTGGGGGTTTGGTCAAGCATCGTGGCTGTTGAGTTAGAGTGCTGAACGTGTGCGGTATTCGGGAGGGAACGCACTGATATAAATCATCTTTACTAAAGGTTACTAGAAGTATTTACCAACTAATCATGCCACACAATAGATTGTCTGCTCACTAGATGCTACTACCAGTAGTCTCTGAATATGCTCAGTGGTAGTACTAATGCTATATATGAAGTTTATATGTACATGGATTACGTAGTAGACTACTTCTCTATCCCGAGGGTGAAGTTCTGCATCGAGAGCATTCTCAAAGTATCCTCCAGTTCCATGGTATCGTACTCTGTATGTGTAAAGAGCCTCGAGATAAAGAGTACACGCATCCGTGTTCATTTATCACCATAACAAACTCCTATCTAACATGAAGATGAACTACAGATCCACAAGTAAAGATCCATTCATTTTGTTCTAAGGGCTACTACTTTACTACAAAGAATGGTTAGGGAAAAAAAGTACATCGCAACTCTCAAGTTCACATTAACTACTACTAATAATTAAGTGTCCGACCAGTCCATAAACCGAGCCAGCGCTGTAGAACTTTTCGAATCGCTAGGCCGTCCCCCCAACCAAAGACAGGTTGTATAAATATATCGAGGTTCAAGCCAATATCCTAGTCATCTTACACTCCCTGGGGCTATAAGCCATCTATCGGTAGCAGCGAGCGCTGAGAGCGGGGTTGTGGTGAGCGTGAACGACATCAGGGATGTCAACGGTGACGGGAAGGTTGTCGCCGCCGCAGTTGTGGTCACTATTATCATCTTCGTTAGATATTTGCTCTTTCCGAATTGGGCTTCGAGAAGATGAAAACTCACAAGTAGATGTGGCAGGTAATGCCAGGAACCTGCCTGACGGAGTGAATTTCGCCGGTGACGCTGTATTCGGTCGGACATTAGGAGTTGATCATGGTTGTGTGGTTTGGGGTTGGAGTTACTCACGAAGTGAAGCAAGAAGCATCACCGTCGTTGAAGGTAGGGGGGCCGTGGAAGTAGTCGAGGGGGTAGACGGAGGCCTATGCTTGTCTTAGTATATCCGTAATCGAAATGGATTGGTCCAAAGGTAATGGGTGTTACCTCGATGTTCTCCTGAGCAGCGTTGTCCGCAGCCAGAGCGGGGACAATGGCCGCGACGGCCAGAGAAAGGAAGGTGGTGAATTGCATTTTGATTTGTTTTAGAAGAGATGTTTTGGCTGCTAGACTGCTTTACCGTTGATGCTGCTGATGATGGATGAAGATAGGTATCGTGGACATCCAGCTGGATTTTATATTCAATTCTTCAAGGGAGAGAAGGAGGAAATAAGCGAAAGCGTTGGCATCTTCATAGCATGCCTGGATATAGCTGCGTGGGGTGCATGCATGGCTTGATTGGATTGTACCTGGATACTCCGGGCAAGTAATTTCCGCAGTAAGGTATTGGTGGGGAACTATTTCTTCAGGGCGGAATGAGGGATACTACGCCGTGTGGCTGTTTGTTGTTGAGGTTGTTGTTGACGCGCCCTTGATTGAGTTAGCTAGGGGGCGTTCCTTGAACGCGGGGATTATCCGCGTGTCAGGGTTAGTTAGATTTGTGGTGGTATAAGGGATGTATGGAATGTGGGTTCATTTTCCCGGGGTATTCGGTCCCTTGATCGGGATGGCCGCTGGGTATGCTGTGAAGGAGGAGTGTGCATTTATTGAGATCTATTTGGATGGACTGGGGTATAGACAATGCTAATATTATTATTCAGGGTTGTCGATCCGTACCACTTACATAATATAATTAGCATTGAACAAGGTGGTAATGTGGTTCTGTGTGACTGTGTTCCCTGATCGTGTTCCGCTTTCAATTTCGGCATTCTATCTTAGATGAACATTGGCGTCCGGGGAATGATCGAGATTTGTGGTTCAAACTATTGAGTCACGCATCTCATTTTGTATCACAGGATCGATTGAGTGGTTCAGTCCAGCCGCAAGCTTGCTAGGCTAAGCTATGTATCTGCATGACGGCTTACATAGACCTGACGATCTATTCTACATGCGAACTCCTCCGTATAAACTTCAGAATTATACCAGCATGCATGCCAGCCATATACACAGGAAGCTTGTATAATATGACCATAGCATACTACATTCTGTCCCACTAGCTATACACTGCACTGCAAATCCAAGCCTAACCACGTAAACAAACAAAGGCAGAAAATCACTTCCTAACAGCAACAACAAACAACCTGGGATACCTCAACATCACCCTCCCATCAGCCCTCTTCTCATACCTCTCCCTCAACAATCCCTCATACACCCTCAAAAACTCCCTCCGTTCCTCCTCCCCCCTCAACCCGTCTAAATACGGCCTCAACCCCGTCCCCTTCACCCACTCGACAATGTCCGCCCAATCGCCGAGGGAGTGATAATACACCGACTCCCAGATCCTCAGGTTCTCACAAACATCCACCAAGGCATCATAAATCTCCTCAGGGGAATCCAACCCATCCCTCTCCACAAGCGTACTCCGTAAATGGTCCGCCCAGGGTCCCGTCCTCGCGACCTCCCGCATGGAAGTATGCGATGGCAGGTTCAAGGTATCCGGGACCTGGAAGGCGAAGACGCCGCCCGGGGGAAGGGTCAGTAGGAGTCTGCGGATAGTAGGGAGTCGAGTAGAGCGGGGAAGCCAGTGGAGGACGGCATTGGAGAAGAAGAGATCTACGGGGTGGTCTGGTGGGGGAGAGTAAGATTCCACGTCGGCGACGGCGAAGGTGGTGTTTGGTGTCGATGTAGACGACGCCTTGGCGCGAGCGATCATGTTTGGGGAGGAGTCGATGCCGGCGATGCTCGGGCAGGATGGGTAGCGGGCGGAAAGCATGGAGGTGGAATTTCCGGGGCCGCAGCCAAGATCGACGATGTGGGAGGGAGATTGCAATGGGATATGTGATAGTAGATCTTGGGTGGGGATGGCGCGCTCGTCGGCGAATTTGAGGTATTGGGTTGCGCTCCAGTCGGACATTTTGGCGGGGTGGGTGAGGAGTTGGGTGATTCGCTGGGGAGTGAGTGGAAGACGAGGACGGAACATTGATGATTTGATAGCTACTGGATTTGAATGGATATGTTGGTGTTGATGTATTATAAGAAGTATTTATATATGGTGCTAATTGATGTGAGGTATATAAGTGGGAGATGATGTTACTATGGAAGTGGTTGTTGAAAGTGCCGGTTTCGGCGGAAACATGATTGGCCTTCCGTTTGAGTATCACGGGATAGGAACATTCTTCGGTCAGATCCTGCTTACTTTTACTTGCTTATTGCACTGATATCATCTTATGCTGTCAATCCGGAAGGCGCGGGTACTTGACTGTAAAAACGTACAGAAATCGGATCAACAATCTCGTCGGGCCTTCCACAACCCGCACGTGACAACGCGTTGCCGCTGCCCATACATGGGAAGATTGGAGGTAACAACTTCAAGCAGAATAGCTATTCCCTAATAATACATCGCTGATTTAATACACTATAGAAGCATGACATACGGTATGTCCTGATTCAAATCTACTGAAATAGTCTCGCTATATCATTGTCCATATATCATTCATCCTACCAGCGAGCAGCTATATATTAACAACAATCGAGCCTTCCGAGCAAGACGATGCCACGATGAGAACAGCACATGAATCAAAGTAGACGCACTCAGTCAGCATTGCCAACTCTAAATATATTTTACAACCCCATAGAGCACTATTAATAGGTGACAGATTATACACATTATGCAGTCAGCATTACCTAAAATATACATGAGCATCTCCAACACCGATTCGTTCAAGCACCCCCAAAAATAACTAACCAAGAACAGCAACTGAATACAAACAATCATCTGAACCCTAAAACAAGCCTACAAGCCTACCACCCATACATCTAACTGCGGGGTAAGCTCACACTTGCAGGGTAAGCAAGAGCTTTCAATGAAACAAAGCTCCCTTAGTCTTAGCAGTCCGAGCATCTCCATGACAAGGATCCCTGGTTCAGATCCGATGACCACTAACACACTAATGCTCGAGTCCTGGCTCATTTACTACCAGCAGTAACTGACTCGTACGCTACCCCAGTAGCAGAGAGCAGAGTATTCCGCTATTTTTTTCCTAGTATGTACAATATGACACAATGATGAATAAATTCAGAACATCCCTCCTTACACTACATCCAAGCTCAAAGTTTCCCACCCATCCCCTCGTATCAAACATTCCAGAACACCAATCGAATTCCAATTATATTTTGCATATGACCTGTCACTTCCCAGGCCACAACTAGCAAGTAACTTAAGCGGAAATAGCTCCCGTTTACTTCTTACGAAGCGGAAGAAAACGATGGTAGGCTTACCCGAACCAGAACCAGAATAAGTGATGAAAGAGAAGCAAGTAAGTACCGTAACCCAAACACGAACAAACCACAACCTAGAAGCAGCAGCAGCAGCAAGTAGCAAGCAGCAAGTAAACTCAAATCTGAGACATTCGACGAACAGTATGGGACAACTGTATGCTGCATACTACATCCAAAACTTACCGTCGGCGAGGCCGATAGTCTAGTCTAGATCATCAATCATCTGCTTTTTCCCTTTCCCTCTCTCTCTCCCTCTTCGATTGCCCAATAGTAGATTGAATGTATAAATACCCAATTAGATTAAAAAATACCTGCTATCGCCTCATCCACAAACCCGTATAAACATTACATAATACACCGGTGGCAATGTTTATGCCCTTATGAAATTAAACCACGGATTATTATCCAGATTGAGTATCTGCTCCTAACCTTGACAAGCAGGTATGAAATCTCATTTTCTGAAATATGATTGGTCTGTCGGTGTTGTCCGAGTTCCCACCCCAGCGCCCCCCTGTCAAAGTGGAGAAGGTATTTCGTAGGCGGTGAGGAGAGTGTAAACTGACTTTTGTAAACCTTGTTTCAAGAGAAATCCTGCTGATGCTGGAGCCTAGATACATCCATTGGTTTAGTCTACTCTGCAGGCGTATGAGTTGTACGATACTGTAGTAGTAGAAGATGTATGAAAATGCAATGCAATGTGCCAATCACAATCTATATACGCTAACACACATATGAACATTGGGTATCCCAATCCAATCATCACAATGGTAAGAAAAAAGAACTAGTTAGAAGCATCCTCATGCAACCGCACCGTCACATTATCTCCCGGCGCATTCGTCAAACTCATCTGCATCGTGATCTCCCCCTCCTTGGTCTTGCCCACGCCCTCAATCACATCGAAGCGCTGCAACAGTCTCACCAACACATAGCCCGTCTCGGTCAGCGCAAACTGCTGCCCAATGCAGATCCGCGGCCCACCGTTGAACGGCAGGTACTCCCATCCGGCCTTGCGCTCGTTCCAGCGATCCGGACGGAATTCGTCAGCATCGGCGCCCCACAGATCAGGCCGACGGTGCATCACGTAGGTGCTGTAGAAGACGGGCTGGCCCTTCTTGACGTAGACGGGGTCCGTGCCCGCGGGACCACCGCCCGTGGGGAGGGTGGTGTTGCGGACGGCCGTGCGGCGGTTACCAGGGACAATGGGGTAGAGACGGAGGACTTCATTGAGGAAGTTCTGCAGGGGACGGCAGGACTTGAGGTTGGCGAAGGTGATGTCATGGGGGGAGGAGTAGGAGCCGAATTCCGCGAGGATGGTGGCGCGCAGGGAGTTGAAGTAGTCCGGGTGGCGGGCGAGGAAGAGGATGCACCACGACAGGAGAGAGGCAGTGGTATCGCGACCGGCGAGGAGGATGTTGAGGAGCTGGGAGCGCAGTTCGACGGGGTCGCGGGTGGCTTCGGCCAGACCGTGCAGGAAGACGTAGTGGCCGGTGGGTTTCTTCTCCGGGTCGGAGTTGAGAGCAGCGGAGACGAAGCGGTCGACGTAGGCGTGCACGGCTTTGTTGATGGCGCGGCTTTCCTTGTTGTTCACGGTCCAGTAGAGCTTCTCGAAGCGAGCGCGTTGGGCGGAGTACCATTGACCGCGGTCGAACTGGGCAGGGAAGTCATCCTGGGGAATGGCACCGTTGCTGAGGGCGGCGGCTTGGCTCTGGACACTCTCGCCGAAGAGGAACTCGGTCGCGGTGTCCATGGTCAGGCGGAAGAAGATGGTCTGGATGTCGGTGGCGGCGGTCCAGCCGGTGGTGGCGTCGACGGGCATGGCTCTCATGGCGACTTGGACGTGACGCTCCTCGAGATCGAGGTCGCTGATCTGGTCGCGGGTGAACTGGGGACGGAGGAGAGCGCGAGAGCGAGACCAATGGTCGCCATCGGCAGTGAACTGGATACGAGTTAGAAGGGTGATTGGTCTTGGATAGGGAGGAAGTGGTGGACGTACGATACCGCTGCCCAGCAGCCAGTGCAGAGCGTTGCGACGGGACTGGCCGAGCTCAAAGTCCTTGAACTGAGTGGCCAACAAGGCCTGGACGTTCTTGGGATCGCAGGTGCTGATGACATCGGTGCCCAGCTGACGGAAGTGGAAAGTAGTGGTATAGCGATTCTCGCGGGCGGACATGATGTCAACACGGCGGCGGGTTACTGTGGGCACTTGGCGAGCCTTGTCCATAGCCAGCGCCTCCTTCAGGGTGTTGATACCCAGCACATCACCGGGGTATGAGGGAATACTCCCGCAGTTCCATTTACGAGCATTTTGCGCATGTTGCCAGCGAGAGAGCAGCACATATAGAAGGTAGAGGACGGGGGAGGCCGTTGCGACAAACAAGAGTGTCGACATGGCGAAGGGTGAGGTGGGGGGGGAAGAGAGGGACAGAAAGATGAAGAGGAAGTGAGGAGAAAAAGCCAAAACTGGCGAGGCAAAGAGGGGTTGATGGAAGTAAATAAATGTACCGGGCGGGAAGTTAGATTCATTTATGTTTCAACTACTAAAGTGAATACGATGGAGTATCAGGATGGCCAGCAAACCGAGTGGCCTCCAACCGAGGCAGATCGGACCATCCTCATGATAGAGAAAGCAAAAAAGCAGTATGGACACATCGGACCGTTGGAAAGAAACTTGAGATGATTAGTCGTGGCAGTGGAGTACCGGCGACCCCTAGTCTGAGACCTCGGAGCTTCCAACTGGATGGAAGCAGGAGGCCCGCCATGACAGGCTTCAGGGGTGGAGAAAAGTATCTGGTTTGACCCGAACATATCGCCATCTGTTCATTCTTATTACCGTTGGGTCTGCACAAGCATTCCCCTGGCCTATAGTGCACCACCACTATACCTTCTCTCTAAACGAACAGGGCCAACCGGATTCCAGGCTTACGGGAAAGATGCATCCTGGAGGATGATTAGTCTGCAGCCACACTGGTTGGTTCCAACATCACGGCTTTGCATCTACATTGTACTTAGTATGTACTTTGCACACTATATTAGCCTCGATGGCATTGGGTGTTCCCGGCCCCATCTTAGGGCACACTCCACTGCATCAATCCCAATCATAACAATCTCATTGTGTGTTCAGTCATCCATTCATTCCTCTTTCTATTATTATTATGATAGTTCACTACGTAAACTAGTTATTCATGTTCTGTGGAATGACTCACCCACTCTCTGGTTCCAGGGGTACTGAACCAAGAACTCCAACCACATGCTATTCCCATGCCAGGTCCGAGGTAGGTTTCACCTACAGAATTAGGCAAATGCAAGTGTTTCTGCCCGCGCTCGACTTCCCAATGCGGTATCTGTGCGTGCCGCTCATTTCGGTCGCCCTGCCGGCACTTTATCTCTGTCCAGCAACACTTCCGATCTTCTAACTATGCTAATTTAGAACGTTAGTCACTAAAATCGCTCCATGCTAAATCGACTGGCTGTAATGGTCTCATCCCCACTACACTTTCCGCCGCACCAATCCACGGAAGAAGTCAAAACTGTTACTGTCGCTCTGCAGCTGCCACACCCGGCCCGTCGGCCGGTCATCCCAGCCCAGTTCCTCTGCCAGCAGCAGCCCGTAATCCCGCGTGATCCCTTTAATGCGCGCGCGCACACCCCCCTCTTCCTCCAACGTCACCACCTGGTGCATGTGCAGCCAGTCTGCATAATACATTTCTTCGAATCCCCGATCGAACCCGGCCCGCAGGAATCGCGTATACAGCTCCTCAAACGTCGTCAGAATGCGCGCCAGCAGCTTCTCCAGTGTGATCGGGGCGGCCCGGGGCCCAAGGAACCGCGCCGCCAGCGCCGTCAACGACGTCGTAGGCGACGCGTTCGTTGCGTTAATGCCAATGCCCACGACCGAGATGTACTCGTTCGCACAGTAATGCGAGTTCACCAGGATGCCGCAGATTTTCGAGTACTGCTTCTTCTCCGGGTTCTCCGGGTCCAGTGCATCTGTCGGCTGATCAGCATCGTCCCAATCCCTCGATCAGATCGTTAGGAAGGATCACTTACACACGTCATTCGGCCACTTCAGCTTGACCGGTAACTCCGAATATCCGACGTCGTAGTTCTTGATTCCCTGCACCACCGCCATCGCCGCCAAATACTGGATAAACACTACTGGTGCGGACTGTATCTTCTCGAGCGGGTGGCGCAGCACCGTTGAGAATATCAGCGCTCCGGCCGGCGACACCCAGACGTTCGATCCGCGGCCGCGGCCTGCCACCTGGGTCGTAGCGCTGGCGGTGAAGCCGTTGGGCAGCTTACGCAGCAGCTTGGGGTTTCTGATCCGTCAGTCGCGTCTCGCTTCTGTCATCGGACAGGTCTACTTACTTTTCCAAGATCGTGTTCGTGCTGGTGACGACCTCACCATACACGAGGTGGGAGCCAAACTCGGATGCACCCTCGCGGGACTGCGATTGGTACTGGTGGAGGTTGGAGTAGAAGGCATGGTGATTGAAGTAGGGCGTCAGCTTCGATGATGGCACGTCGTCGTGCACCACCAGTCGCTTAACGATGGCGTTGTAATCCACGATACCCTCCGTAGACTGCGATGACGCTGGGAGGGAGTCCTCCAGCTGGCTCAGGTTCCACGCGCCGGGTCTCTCAATCCGGAACGTGTCATTCTCATCCTTCAGGACCTCCTCATTGCCATCCTTGGTGATGATCTCCTGCCATGACGCCACCAGATCGGCCGTCTCGGCGGGCTCCTGCGAGGACAGATGCAGCGACGACAGCGACGGCACGGTGGTCGTGCTCTGCGTCACCTGCAAGCCCAGCTTGACCAGACATGCCTTGAGGAAGTCCGTGCGCGCCTTGTCATCAGCCTCCAGCGCCTCCACGACCTTTGCATATTCGGGGCCACCGGCCTTTTTATCCAGGTTTGCAGCTGCGAACCTACCAACCATCAGCACACATCACTCAGACCACTTGGAACCACAGAGGATTTAGAAATACTCACTCCGGATGCGGTCCCGTAAGAACAACCCTCCCCTCCCCAACGCGACAAAACACCACGGCGGCCTTCCCCTCCCCAGAGTCAACATTCAGTTCCTCCTCAAAGCTCGCCAGCACCTCCACTCCCTTATCAGCCAAGGTCGGCGCATCCACAAACACCCCACCCCCGTTATAGTAGCACCTGAATCGCTCCGGCACGATCCCCGCATTTAGGATATCTTTATTCACCGAAATCTCCGCGGCCCTCGCCCCCGCCTCACTATGATAGACGAACCCCGCGAATGCCCCTCCGCGACATGTCCCCGGGTAGAAGGCCAGTTCACGCTCTCCGATAACCTGAAGTGTCTTATCGCCGACTTCGAATTCGCAGCGTCGGGAACCGTAGTACCCGCCCGCGCAAAAACCGAGGTAAGCGCCACCGCGCTTGACGAATTGTTCGATGCGGCGGTTACCAGGGCCATTGAGGACGCGACCGTAGCCTAGATCAGCGCCGCCGGGGATGACGAGGAGAGCGCAGGTTGCGGTCCAGGGTTCGCGGAGGAGGGCGTCGGAGGTGACGGGGATGACGGCGTAGTGGGGGGCTAGAAGGCGGCGGAGGGAGTAGAGAGTGTGGCGGACCGATTCGATGGTGGTTCCATTGCCTGTAAATCCAGTATGATTTAGTGAGTAGATTTTAGTGTATAATATTGGTTGAGTGACAGTCAATGGGATCGTGGATGGTGAAGCGGGGAGAATAGAGGGGAAAGTGACGCACCGGAATAGACCAGAACGTTGACCTTTTTGCCGGTCATATTGGGGGTCGCCATTTTTGCGGCAACTACCTGCAACTCTCTCGGAGCAACCACTCAAGCACAAGCAATCAAGCAGTCGGACAGTCAAGCAAGCAAGCACAATGTCGGACCAGGAGAAAAGGGAGAACCCGCCCGTGGAGGTGGAGGAAGACGACGACGAGCCGGATGAATGGTGAGTTGTTGGGATGCGAAGATCGGAGGAAGGGAAAAGAGTTGGTTGAGCTGACAGTCCATCCAGGGACAAGCGGATCTTCAGCACCGGCTGTGCAGGTACATTCCCATCTTTTATTCCCTATCCCAAATAATGCTAAGAAACAATTCAAGCGGAGCAAATGAAAATGAACGACTGCTGGTTCGAAAAGAAAGACTGGCGCCAGTGCCAGAGTGAGGTATAACATCCCATCTCATCCATGATCATCTCGCAACCCTCACTCACTAAATTGCATCAGATGGAAACCTTCCGCGAGTGCTGGAAACGCCAGGGCAACGACGAGCGCACACAGACCAAGGATGCTTAACTGATACGATACCGACCATTTGTACAATAGAACAATACTACTAAGACTCTTCACTTATCCTCCATCCTGCTGTCTACTGTGTAATCACGTGACACTATACAGCTCTGACTTCATTCTTCTTCCCGCTGCACCTTCCCACCACATCCCCAACCACAACACCTCCCCACAGCCCTCTACAATGTCCCTCCCACTTTTAACGCGCTCCCTGCGCGGTCCCCAACTCAGCAAAACCCTCCGCTACTCCCTCACCACCACAACCCGCTATCAATCCACCACCACCACCACCAACAACAACAACACCGCGAAACCCGCCACCACCTCCACAGCATCAACAACACCCAAGCCCACCACCACTACATCTACCTCTTCCTCCCCCTCCACAAAAACAACCCCCACCCTAAAAGACCTCCTCGACCACCCCCCATCCCCAGCAAACCCAACCGAAGACCGCATCGACTGGACGCGCTCCTTCCACGGGCTCAGCGCAACCCCCTTCCCGAAAGAATGCGCCGACATCCTCCTCGCCCCGACGGACCCCGAAGAAGTCGAAATCAAACCCGACGGCATTCTCTACCTCCCTGAGATCAAGTACCGACGGATACTGAATAAGGCGTTTGGACCCGGTGGATGGGGTCTTGTGCCGAGGAGTGAGAGTATTGTTACGCCGAAGATGGTGACTAGGGAGTATGCGCTTGTTTGTAATGGAAGGTATGTATTTTCCTATTTTTTTTATTACCTTGGGGATGCCCGACGCTGATTTGATAATGGGATAGGTTGGTTTCAGTGGCTCGCGGCGAACAGGATTACTTCTCCCCGGATGGAATCCCCACTGCTACAGAGGGATGTCGGTCGAATGCGTTGGTGCGGTGTTGTAAGGATCTAGGCATTGCGAGTGAGTTGTGGGATCCCAGGTGGATTCGCAAGTTCAAGGCGCAGTATACCCGCGAGGCGTTTGTGGAGCATGTGGTGAATAAACGGAAGACGAAGATTTGGGTCAGGAAGGATGATACTGTCGGGTATCCGTGGAAGGAGACCAAGTTTTAGTCTTCCTGTCTCTTTCATTCCATTCTCATTCTATTTCTATGTGGGGAGCAAGTCTCATTATGGAATACGTCATATTAAATTCTGTATAACAGGTCAATGTACGATATCATTGCGAATTACATGCTAATAGATCAGTCCACTCATAAAATACTAATAATACATCATATGCAACAATCTAAGTGGCCGTTTTTGCAAGGAAAAGAGGAAAGGAAGAAATCATCATCACTCATGGCTACTGGTTACCTGCTCCCTCGTACGGCCGTCGCGGCACATATCGTCCTGGCTCGGTTTCTGTTAGGTGTGTCGAATGGTGCTCCCGTCCGTCTGGCGCCTGCTGCTCGTGCATCGACGGAAGCTCGAACGGCTGGTTCGGGTCGTAGGGGTCCTCCGTTGGGTCGTAGTACTGTCCCGGGTAGTTGTAGTACTCGGGCGGCTGCTGAGGCGGTTGGGACATGGCGGCCCCCGCGAGAGGCTGGGGCACTGCGACCTGGGGCAGCGTGGGCTGCGCCTCCTGGCGATGACGGGGAGGGACTGGTTCAGAGAGCACCGGGACATCACCTCGAGGGGCAGCCACGGGCTGGGGCTCGGGTTCAGGCTCGACGTGCGAGGTGCGGCCCTCCTTGCGACGACCCGTCGATGGTTCGCGAGTCATCAGTCCGTAGGTCACGTTGAGTTGGCGCTCCTGTCCCGGGGATCCCACGGGTGTCTGGTAGTGGTCGACTTCGTGACCATCACGGGAGCCGTCCTGCGACCGGGCTGCGTGCTCTGCGGTGAGACCTTCACTGTAGGAGCTGGAGGCCCCCATGCCACGACGCTGCAGCGACTGAGGGGAGTTGCCGAGGTCGAAGCCAGTCGAGCGGGATTCAGTGTAGGAGACGCCAGCGGTGGTGTTAGCCCGACGCATGCCTTCGCTGGCGATGGAAACCTGGCGGACGGGGAGAGTTTGGTCTTCGTGTCCAGCATCTGACTTGTTGTCGTCCTTCTCGGTCTTGTCATCGTCGTCGTCGCTGGCGCCTGGGGCGCGAATAGGCACCTTGCGCACGGCGGAAATCAGCGCGCACATGAACTTCGAGCGACGGGCAGCACGGACGGCTTCGTTCGACCAGTTGGACTTGTGGCAGATCAGGACACTCAGCTCCATCTTGTCCATGTCGCCCAGACCAACTACATCAATGGTGACCTCTGGCTGGAAGTCGCGGCAGTTGTCCTTGTCGCGCACGAAGCTCTCCATCTCCTCCTGGAGAAGCTGGACGTTGGAAAAGGTGGTCTCAAAGCTAACGGGGACGGTGAGGCGCTCATGCATCGCATTGGCACGGGTGAAGTTGTCAATCCATAGGGTGTTGAGAACGACGTTCGGAACCTGCGTGATACGGTGATCGTTGACATTTCGGAACACGGTGAAGAGCAATGAGATGCGCTCAACAAAGTACGGCTTGTCGCTGATTTCCACACGGTCGCCCACATCAAAGGGATGCTTGACGAAGAGGAAGATACACGAACCCAGCACTTCCTGGGCGGTGGTCGAGAAGACGAAACTGAGAGAAAGCAGAGAAGTGGCACCCGCGGCGATAACAGTACCGAAGCCGCTTGTCACGAAAGAAACAAAGACCAAAATAGCGATGATACCCGCCACGGTCAGCAAAAGGTTGTCGAGAACGTGGATCGCCTGGTCAACATCGTGGAGACTGTTGTTCAGGGACTTTCTTAAGCGGCGGACTTCACCGATGGCCAAGATCATCTCTTCCAAGCTGATGTCCCCGTTGCCGTCGCGATCCAGCATGTGGAAACATTCCTCGGCTTCAGCCTCCATGCCAGCTCCCAGGACCTCACAAATATCGTCAAAGTACAAAGCATCGCGGCCTTCAATGACAAAAGACATCCAAATTCTCCGTGCGAGCGCTTCAGACGTCCGTCTGTGTTCCAGAGCCTGGGTGACGACGGACCGAGTGGAAGTGGGGTTGAAAACTTGCTTGCCAGTCAGTTCATGGGCCACGTCGCCAAAAGCCGCCGTGACTTTGTTGCCGAACTGGTGGACATTTTGGCCCACGCCCCGGATGATGCGCAGAGGCGCTGATGAGCTGCCAGAGCGGGTCTTGACGGCTGCGGAGCGGAGAATGGAGTCGGAAATGGCCGCGTCTTCCTCTTGGAATTCTTTGCAGTACATGGGGAACATGTGGCGCGAGGCGTCGAATAGCAGAGCCACCAGATACACATTGCGCTTCGATTCTTTGATGCGAGCATCAAATTGCTTGCGGTGGTAGCTGATCGAGATCAAATGAACCATGGTTTTCTCAGCCAGGAAAATCAAACTGCAGACGAAGAGGGCAAATAGGATGTTCTTGATGGACTTCTCCCAGGATTTGGTAGAGGTATCCCCCTTGGCTTGCTGATGGGGGTTTTGCGTCATGACCTGGAGGAAGTTAGTTGATGGCACGTATGATAGAATCAGACTAGACTTACAGGCAAAAAGGTGACCAAGCACACCACGCACCACAGCACGGTTGCAATTGGCATTTCCAGTTTGCGTAGAATGAGAGCATATTTGCGAGTTCCTGAACTCACAAACCCGATAAGGGTCTGAAAGATGTACGGCAAGAGTTTGGCCGCAAGTTTACACAACCACAGACTGATCCAGACGATCTCAATCCAGAACCAGAACCACGGCAGTGTAACTCCGCCGATAGTCGCGTCCTGCGCGACCGTTGCTCCCACGATAATTGGGATGGCGAGGAGAATTGCGAGCGGAGCGACGTAGATGAAGTAGCGAGTGAGAACAGAGTAATTGAGAATGGCCTGGTAGAAGCGGCCCATGCGAGTGACGGTGCCATCCTCGGGGTCTTCTAGGGAACGTCCGGTGCCTTCGTCGATGCGTCTGCGCATGCCGGGATTTGGCGCGACCAACCCTTCCTTCTCGCCGTCAATGCCTTTGTCATCGCCGGGTGGTTGATACGGATTCGGCGATCCTCCCACATTACTACTTGTCTTGCGAGCGCCGGTCTGATTCCGACTGGGAACCGGGTTCAAGGGGATGTCAATAGTGACGTCGTTGGGATTCATCATGTTGTCCGGGGCCATGTCGGGAAGCTGCTGGAAGCGATGAGCCGACAGCCGCTTCTCCGTGATACCAGGTCTGCCGGACATGAATTTTGAAAATGGCATTGGGAATGAATTAGGGAAAGAGACGGTCTAAAAAGTAAGGCCAGAAGCTGCCCTGCAGCTCCAATTAGCGAGCGATGTCGCAATTGGTCGGCTTAACTTCCAGGGACGTAAGATCGCTTTGCACAGTCCAGGCAGGATCTGACAATCACTGGGTGAATGAGTGTTGGAGTCCACTGGTTCGTGTGGAGAGCGGGTGGGTCGAGCGAAAGTAAAACCGCATGGACTGGACCAGGACTTGAGACGTTCGTTGGTGAATTAGAGCGGCAGCGAACGGACGTATATTTTTGTTAAAGGATCGGGAATAGGTGGAAAAGAGAAAGAGAAAAAAAAGAAACGAGACGGACAGGCATCGGAAAAGAAATGCGTAGAACGCTGTCAAGGGGGGGACAGGCCAAAGGCCCGATGAAGGAGAGAAACAACGACAAGCCAGGCGAAGGAATGTCAAAGACGCGAGTGTCAGAAAGCCAGAGGGAAAATCGAGGGGAGCAACCCACGCGAGCATGTTTCAGTCGGGCTGAAGTCACTGGCGTGCAATAATGGAGTCATCCTCTTTTTGGGGGCTGGCCTGGTTGGAATCCGCCGATCATTCCCCGGGCCCATAGTTGCTGTCGGACTGGCGACTGCTGGTGGTGCCTTTCTGTTCGTCGCGATGATATAATAGGCAAGACTAGTTATAGGTTCTCTAAGCCCTATCAGCGTACCTGAAGGCGATCGATCTGAATTCTGAAGGGGAGAGACAGCCCCCACTGGTGTGAAATTTAGTTCATGGCACTAGTACTTTTGAGTTGGGAAGTTGAATTGTGTGAAGTGAGTACGTAGAATCACTAGAATGATTACTAGTCAGGGTGGCGGTCACGTTACGAGGAACGTCACACAAGCCATATCGGCAAAGCCCTATTCGCCTTCTTTCGGCCAGTCTAGGGCATTGCTCTGCCCTTCTCCCTCTCTCCCTCCCTCTCTCTCCCTCTCCTTCCTCTCGCACTTTCCACGGCCCGCGACCGTTGGAACCAGTCAATCCTTTCAGGGGGTTCCAGCCAGTTTTCTTGTCTTCCTTTCAACTTGGCTAGTTATTTCCCTGGTTACAACTAAACCAGTTCCCTACATTTCATTCAGGCACAAAACTAACCAAAATATCGGGGTTGTGGTTCTGATTGTGTGGCTGACTCTAGTGCATTTACTTTGTAATAACTCGGTCGCTTACGATACCCCTTCAAGCATTATCTTTACTTTTTCCCTAACAGTGAACCTTGTAAGGTTGTTAGTTTGTAAGGCTGATTTGCCGTTTCAGTGCCACTTCTCGCCCCTGAAATCTGCTGCAATCAATCTCACTGAAACCATGTTATGCACACCTGTCAGCCCGTCAGACGGCTGCCCCTGAAACTAGTCGATATTGTGATTAGTGCGTGGGATTGGAGGCGTTAGATTCGGCCGCGTTGTATGGTATGATAAGATGTAGAGTCGGAATAGTACACTCTCGGCTCCACATTACTTGGACCACTACAACATTTTGTATAATGTATCGCATATTGCAGTAAAGACGGATGTTTGAAAGCACGCAGTGAAGATCTATCTGTGGGAGATCGGAGTTTTCACATCGGACAGCCCGTTGCAGTATCACGCATCCTTAACACTGGTACCGGAGCAAAGATGACAGGTCACTCCGTCGGCTGTTTCAGAGTGGCTTCTAGACCGTTTTAGTCCCTCGGCCAGCCCGTCTCAACCTCTCGCAGTTTTCCACTGTGGCCAGTCCATCAGAGCTGAGGGGCGACAAAATTAATTGGATTACTAGGCTGTGTTGCCGATTGCGTTTTCAACGTCCACAATCAAAGTTAAGACGAGTCTGTTCCTGAGTCTTGAACTTTTTTTTTTTTGAGAAGTTTAACTTTTTGCATGCTTCCATTGCCACCACAGTATAACTTCGAACCCCTGAGCGAAGGAAAATGGAGAGAATACATAGGCTGAGAATAACTGAAATCCTAATGAAATTAAGGTACTTATAATGGAACTGTCAGGAATATTGGATGAACATGATGCACTTAGAAATATATTAGATCTGAGTACAGATACCCACCCTGGTGGTGCTTTTCCGATAGGTATAGTACCATCATATTCTATGGACATCTTTCATCACAGCAGCCATCATTCGACCAATGACAGAGTTCGCGATCTTCATATTACCCTCAAGGGAGATGAAAATAATGGAAGGATATCTTTCTTGGCTGTTCACTACTCAGAGGTTTCGCAGACCATGAAATTGCGATTTTCAAGCTAGACCATATTAGACATTATAAAGAATCATCAAGTATATGAAGGCCAACGCCTCTTGCATGGAGTGTTACACCATTTGCTTCTGGTTGCTCAAGGTTAGGAATAGGTGCGCTCAAGAGCTACTGAGCTAGCTAGTACAACCAAAGAGGACCTTGAATCGGCCTTTTTGCAATGCGATACACCTCCTGTTTGCCGGCTATCACGGGCCCTCTTCACAGCTGGCAACCCCCAAGTCACCATCCAGTCTGAGCTCAGTACATCCGTCGCTGTTGCTCGCTTCTCAGGCCTCATTGCCAGCATTGAGCGAAGCATGCTTAGAATGGCCACCTGCTCCTCTTTATCGAAAGAAGACATATTATCCCTCTCTCGTGCGGCCTGTATGTACTTTTCGAACTCTTGCTCAAGAGATGGGTAGACAAACCGATCTTTCTTAGGCCTTCCGATCTCTTCAAAATACTCATGGCGCTTCTCCCATGTATTCCACCATTCAAGCGGAATATCTCCAATGATATCTACTTGTTGAGAGGCTATGCCATGTCGAGTGGCGAATGTTGCATCAAATAGCCCCCGCAGGCCAAATATGGAATACATAGCACATGCAAGACTCCAGATGTCCGAGGGAAATGAAAGAGGCTTGTCCGGTTCAAAGTAGGCTTCAGGCGGTATGACTGGAAGCGGCGAGGGACAGTCCTGCCCACGTCGCCGCTGCTCAGGGTCGGGAGGGGAGAAGCTCTCGCCAAAGTCGCTAAGGAGGAGCTGGGCCTCAAACGGCAGAATATCTTTTGCTCGCTTCCCTAACCAGGTTGGCATCGTCCCACAAGTAGGGACGCCCGGAGGAAGAGGCTGTCCATCGAGTCGCACAACTGGTTCCGTATAGGGCTCACCGAACTGCTCATAGAAGTCCTGGACTGAGAGCTTGTCAAGGCTAGTCGGTAGGTTCAACAGGATATTTCCGAGATGGATATCTGGAGTGTATCTTTAGCGGTGCTTTCATGACATAGCTCCTCCCTCATATACTTAAGAGGCATTCAGAACGATTATCTTCTCACTTACCTCCGTGAACGAAGCCTTGAGCATGAACAAATGCAACAGCCAGGGCCAGTTCAGCAGTTAAGACACGAGTCGTTTCTAATTGAAAGTAGCAACAGAATAATGCCGCGGATACACTGCTCTGAGCGGGTGCTGTGACAATGCATTGATGATGCCCGTTTGGGCCCTCAATCTGGAATTCGTCCAGGATGACGGGGATCAAGGGACGACCGTTAGGATGGACCAGGCAGCGATCCTTGAGCATACCTAATATCTTTGCTTCTTGAGTGGAAGCATCTCCGGTGCTAACCTTGACAGCCACATAGGCTGCCTTTTGCTCATCTCGTGAAAGCCAGATTGTAGAGAACGTCCCATGTCCCAGCTTGTCTATCACTTTGTAGCGACTATTCAGTACGTCTCCGACGTATATTGGATGATACTCTCCTATTTTGTACCTCTCTAGCCTTTCAACTTTCTCGATAGGCTGGTATTGGAAGTAAGGATTGTCGTCGGTGGTAGAAGTCATAACGGTTCTGACGGCCACATTCCGCCGTCGAGGCGGCTGTTGATGCCAACGGAAAATCGGGGGACATGAGGGAACAGTAATTCCTCGACAAGGATAGCGCAGGCTATTCCTCAAGAAACCAGATCGTTTCATAATGATATATATAGCTCGATATTTTGTCTAGCTGGAGAATCCTGATATTCAGGAGTTCGTTCGTGATGACGTTGGAGAGGAAGCATAATTCCGTCGCTATCAAATGTCATGTGACCTACGAGTGCTGACATGTATGACGGCCAATAATGAGTATTTACCGTACCTAAACACTCGAGCTGAAGCTTACAGCGTACGCTTGGTCCATGGCACTGTGCCTTAAACTACGCCTGGTTTCACGACCAGTACAAATGGCCTAAGAACTTAGGGAGCTAGCCTAGCCGGACTCGCTGCATAATCCAACGCTATGGCTTCGTCTCCGAAGAGTTGCTTGGGATGCAACAAAACTGTAGATGAGTAACCAGATGTGCTGTCATCATTGTCGTTGGTACGATCACCCCCGATTGGGAAGGTGCAAGGACGGTCTTGCTTGTAGCATAGGCAAGACTACCAAGCCAGATCACGAATATCAACAGGATGCAATTGTCCATACTTGGTGTTTATGAGATTCGTTGCATCTCTTTGTTTGACGAGACTCTACGCTCACCCACAAAAATGTCTACGATCAACATGGTGAGGTACTTCTTTTATAAAAACCACCTTCCCCGTGAGCAAGAGACGCTCCAGGCACTGGTAGCAGTGGCCTATAGAACTGCAAGGGACAGAAAGGTCTACCCAAAGGCCATTCTAATTCGGTATACCTATTTGTCTAGTTAATTCTGACCTATGTTTTTAATGATTATATAGATCTGTAGTCTATTCTATAACCAATATCAAAGGGCGCATTCAGAAAGACCCCCTGGGACCACATGTGACACTATGCTACAAAGACGAACGTCACTTGGCTAATGGAACTCATGTTGCATGTCATGGCTATGTGGAAGGGCCAAACAGCTTGAAGTATGTTAAATCTACGCATGTTGGAGAAAAGGTGGACACTTGGGTGAAAAAGAGCGGAGGGATTGTCTGGCCACCTGAGGAAGAGCTCGACGAAGCCCCTCAGATTGGATATGGACATTTTTGGGGGGAAAAAACCACTGATGGTGCAGGCGTTAGTACTTAGATTCACGGCCTTTTTGTCATGAAAGTGAAAAAGCTCTTTGTCGTACTACTAGTAGTGATGTACTTTTCAAATTCTCAGCTGTTCATTGGGCTCATGAAATATATCAGCCTTTCCTGGGACGGGTTAAGCCTGGCGGCCCGGTCCTGCATAGTCCTCTTGCAGCTCGCTGCCTAATCAAGACGAAAAGTGGACAGACAACGGGACAATCTTCCAGATGTGCCAATTAGCAAGAATACATCTGATCGTGGCTGGCTGTCCGAGCGCCTTCCCTCCGCCAGACGGGCGGAGAAGAGGAGTTGGACCCGCAACGGCGCCACAGATGGTTGGTACGCTAACATGGAGTTGCAGATGCTCTGCATTAGCGACTCAGGTTGTACCCCTCTGGCACGGCAGACTGATTCAATCAGTCGACAGAGTTTCCGGGGGTGCCCATCATTTATAGCCCTGCTCGATTCTGCTCTCAATTCTGTGTCCTGGGTGCAATTTTGTACTTTGACATCGACCCTAACCACCACTAACCCTCCCCTCAACCACCACCATGTTCGTATACGCATGGCTAGGCATAGCTCTTCTCACCTACCAAGCTTTACGCAGCGTATATAGGCTGTGTTTTCATCCACTTCGCAAAATTCCGGGCCCGAAGCTAGCAACTATCACCTACGGCTACGAGTTCTACTACAATGTTATCAAAGGTGGCAAGTTCGTGTGGGAAATCGAACGCATGCATAAGATATATGGTACGTTTTACTACTTTGTCCCAGCTATTCCACATCTTTCGCTCATGACCATCTCTTCAATCAGGCCCAATCATTCGCATCAACCCCGATGAAGTCCACATCAACGATCCGGATTACTTCGAGGAAATCTATACTTCCCGTGCTCGCCGGCGAGAGAAAGACCCTTTCCAAGTAGCCCAGTTTGACATCGACGGCGCAGCCTTTTCGAGCATTACACCTGAGATACATCGTCAACGACGCGCCCCTCTCGATAAATTCTTCTCAAAACAAGCCATCTCCAACATCGAGTATCTCATCCACGACAGCCTAGACAAGATCATCAAAGCCTACAAGGAGGCGTACCAGAGCAAAAGTGTAGTGAGCTTGGACACCGGGTTTGCAAGCTTGACTGCGGACATCATCCACCAGTATGCCTTCGGGTTCAACCCGGGTAACCTAGACGCGGAGGGATTCAACGAAAGCGTACGAGATGCCGCCAACGCGGTCTTGCAAAGTATGCACTTACTCAATTTCTTTCCCTTCATCAAAGTGGTTCTTGGCCTGCTGCCGCACGGTTTGCTGCGCCTTATCAGCGAGCCAGCAGTGAAATTAGCGAAGGAAAAAGAGGATTTGTATGCAAGAAGCGCGGCAGCGCTAGAGAGGAACCAGTCTCCCGTGAAGGAAGATGAAAAGGTCAGTAATAGCAAAGGCGCGATTCTGGATGCTATTGCTGGGCCTCGTATGCCAGCACATATGCGGACGCCTAAGCGACTCATGGAGGAGGGGCTTTCTCTGGCCATTGCGGGAACGGAAACCACAGCGCGAGCGCTCTCTGTCGGGACCTATCACTTGCTTACGAAAGAGGATGTCAGGCTCAAGTTGAAAGAGGAACTGAAGACCGTTATGCCTACACCTGATATGCGGGTCAGTCGCACGGAGCTGGAGAAGCTGCCTTATCTGGTGAGTACCATATTCATTTTCGAGTTCATCTATCAACAATAAATACTAAGCTTTGCGACATGTAGTCTGGTGTCATCAATGAATCCATGCGTCTTGCAACAGGCGTATCTTCCAGGATGACCAGAGTAGCTCCCACAGAAGCACTGGTTTACAAGGAACATGTCATTCCTCCTGGTGTACGTATCATCTTTCGCAATGCTGTTGATGCCGTCAGTCTGCTAAAAGCTTCTACACCATCAGAGTTTTTTCAGCTCATCCACCGTCTTCATCCTCATGAATTCGGACATTTTCCCCAATCCCCACGATTTCGATCCGGAACGCTGGATTCGAGCTGCTGAAAAGGGGGAGCGATTAGATCGGTATCTGGTGAACTTTTCCAAGGGTGCTCGGATTTGCCTTGGCATGCAGTAAGTTAACAAGTCTAGAGATGAGAGGATCAAATGGTCGCTAATGTAATATTTAGACTGGCTTATGCCGAACTTTTCATTGTTATTGCCGCACTTATGCGCCAATTTGAGATGGAGCTAGTCGACACTCCAAAGGAGACCATTGAATTCGCGCGAGACTTTGGGGCGCCGTATCCTGAGAAGGAAAACTTGTCCATCAAAGCGAGGATTACGGGGTTGGCTCAGGAGTAGGTAGACCCAACTAAGTTTAGGTTGAGTGTTTACTCAGCTCTTGGGAATAATGGTATCTACTTTCAGATAGTCTAGGCAGATAAAAGGGGGTAGCTACTAGTTGTCATGATGGATGTGATAGTTATGTCAGCTCTTGTTCATTCCAAGGTAACAAAAAATATACTACCTCTCCCATCAGCACATCTACTGCACGTGGATACCTCTGAATGTAAATCCCTGCCCGCTGGTTGCTATCAATCCATAGTACCGCCAGCGATACTAAGATTCAGTCACACAGGATAAAGTATTTTCAGTTACATCAATCACGATCTAGCACATGGCATTCCAATACTATACACAAGGAATAGTACCTTGCTTATCTGGATTACTGTCTGTTGTTGAGGGTGGTACACAGCTCTGCAAGGGGATCGTTGTCGGCTGAACATGGTAGGACGCGTTAGTTGGGATGCATTGCCTGTTGAGTGGAATTTCCGTAGCAGCACTAGGAGCTCCCTGCAGTTACTAAATCTATACAGCTATCAGGCCAAAAGAATATCGGATAATACAATTGGAAGGGCATTTTCTAACTATATGAGCGCGGTTGTACATGTCTTTCATGTTCAACAATGACAGCCATCGAATCAATAAAGTAAGGGGCTAGTGGATTTGAGATATGAGTGATCTGACTTTTCGGTTATGCAGGAGTCCAAAGGAAATGATGGACTCTAGTGAACTTGGTGTCTAGTATGCATAATTCGCGGATCTCTCACCATAATTGGAAAAGTGATAAATCAGAGACTGGACAGTGTTACACATATGCACAAGTAGATTCCATTGGTACAGACATCTGAACTCCCCATCACTGCTTGAAACATAATCATTGCATTGATAATACGCGTGGTGATTTCGTTGACCTGTGCATCACGTCATGTGCTCTCCACTTTCTAGCATGCCATCTAACCCCATAAAGAGGGGTCCAAACCCTTCTCATCAGTACGTTGGCGGCCATTGCCTAACAGTTTTTTAGGGACACCTATACCAATTAAGCCAACTACTTCTTGAAGCTCCGTATCTCCCCTTTGCTTTTACGTTTCCGTACCTCCTCGACAGATAAAAACAGACATGAGTGTGCACCAGGACGACCAGGCGATTGACAGCGACGAAATCGACCGCATCGCCATTACCCCAAATGCCCCCGACCAGGTACCACGTCTGATCTCAGAGATTAACACACATGGTCAGGCCTTTATGTCAGGACATTCAAGTGTGCGAGCTCAATTGGCAGACGCTGCGGAGTCGCTGTTGGCCGTACTCGAAACACCACGAGAAACGATCCATCGGCAGAACTTTCGGAACGTAAGTTCTTCTCGGTATTATCCGTGAAGGATAGAGAAGAGAGAAACAATTACTCACTATCTTAGTAGCCCACTGGATGGGCTGCCATCAATATTGCCATCGACCTGGGCATATTTCGCCTGCTAGTTGCGACCAAGCGGCCCATGTCGATCCTGGAATTGGCCAGTGCCACCGGAGCGGACCCTGTCCTGCTGGGTACGTGGATATAGCTTTTAGCTTTCCTCTTAATTAGAAGTAACTCTCCTACAGGGCGTATTATGAGGCATCTGGGGGCTATCAATGCCGTCATTGAAACGAAAGGCGGCGAATACACTACTAATGGGTTTTCCTTCACACTCGCCCACAGGAAATATTCTGACTCGGTCCTCGCAGTGTTAGTCCTCTTCAATTGCATGATACTGTAGTAATGCATACTAATATAGATAGCGCGGGCTCCATGTACCCCTCGATCAATGGTTTACCTGAGTTCTTTCGCCAGAATGGCTACCAAAATCCATCCGACGGCCGTCACTGTCCCCTTCAAATGGTCTATCGCACGACCGACTCCTTTTTTGAATACCTCGCTCATAACCCAGTCATTAGCGCGCAATTCAACACTCTCATGGGAGTCCACCACCGGGGCCGTGCCAGCTGGATGGACCCAGGATTCTACCCGGTCGATCAACTCATGTCTCCATCTCCGATAGGTGAGCATGACGTGCTTCTGGTCGACGTTGGCGGTGGAAGAGGCCACGACCTCAGCGAGTTGCGTGCCAAGTGGCCGAACCTCCCCGGGAGGTTGATTCTTCAAGATCAGCCTGCGGTCCTGGCTGAGGCTACCAATCTACATCCGTCAATCGAACCCATGAGCCATGACTTTTTCACCGAGCAGCCAATCAAGGGTATGTCCCACCATTTTTCATAGCTTATTGTATCTCCATTGAACTTTTTATCCTTCTTTTTCTTATTTCTTTTTCTTTCCCTATTCTGCCATCTCGTATAGCTGACCGAAGCTGACTGGGGCTGACTGCGGATATCCAGGAGCTCGCGCCTATTTCCTCCACTGCATCCTGCACGATTGGCCGGACAAAGACTGCCATCGGATTCTCGAACCCCTCAGAGCCGCCATGATCCCAGGGGTCAGTAGACTTCTAATCAACGATTACGTTATGCCTGACCAGGGTGCGCACTGGCAGGCAACATCGCTGGACATTAACATAATGTCGGTCTTAGCGAGTTTAGAGCGGACGGAATCGCAGTGGCGGCAATTGTTGACCGAGGCGGGGTTTCGCGTTGTTAATGTATGGACTGTGGATCGGTGGTCGGAGAGTTTGATTGAGTGTGAGGTGGAGACTTCTTCGGCGAGTGAAACTGTCAAACACAGACTTTAGGAATCTGCGTTCGTTTTCAATTTGTTTGTGGTTTCATGTTCACATTGTCCCATCGAGTCTTATTATGTGATGGTGGTGATGTTATCCTGAACCTAATCAATCTCTCTAGTCATAGACTTCAAGCTTATAGGTATGACGTAGTTAAAGGAGTTATCTTGAGGATCATCCAAAGCAAGGGGGTCCATGTTAGTAAGGGATAAGGGAATGGTGACATCGTGAGCAGCTGTAGTCGGCCATTGTTGGAATGGTTGAGATAGTCAATGCCGATCCTTACCAAAATCATAATCGAGCGATCTTGTCAGGATCAGCCGGCATGTCGCTGAGATCAGTAGATCTGTGGGCTGCTTGAAGGAACTCTAGTACTCTGTATATAACATGCTTTGAACGACCGGCCTTTTTTATCACTTACTCTCACATATGGAGCTGTTTGGGCAAGTTAGTGGCTAACCTGTCGGTCTATATACTATCAAGTGATTAGGGGCTCAGAGTTATCTGCCTGTCATAAATACGATTATTTTTTATCATGGGCAGCCTTCAGCATAGTTTCAAAATAGCCAAGTTATATCCGCGGAACAACGGTATAGTAGTATGAATGACAACTCTCGTGAAAACCAGTATAGACTGTATAACAACAGTATTCGATCATCAAAGTGTCAATCAGATCTTGTAATGGACTCCTGTATAATGTCTTGCGGCGTAAAAGTCAGTCATAGCGCAGGGGAACTCGGCATAACGGATATAGCGAATTGGCCCTAAGTACCTGACTGATTATAAAGATCAGCAAATTTACAGGTAAGCTAAACCATCTTATCCCACTTAATACAGAGTAGTGCACGAAGGATCTGAAAAGCTCCTAAAATCAGAGATCAGATGCGAGTAACACCTTGAGAAGAGGCGGAAATCGTCTGACCCCCTGGGAATAAGATCTGACACTTGCGGGATCCTACTCCACCACGCGTCTTCTGCCTCCCGAATCCCGAGCCGCACTGTCCCATAAACCCACCCGTTTACTTATTGCACCCAATCGCCAGAGTTGCTGCCTACCGTTGGGAGGTTTCTGCCTACAGCTGGGAGGGTTACCCCTGCTTACCAGTGGCACAGACTTCATTCCACGCAGAACCCAGCAAAATGGCACTGCCCCGGAAAGACCAGGTTCTCTCGTCCCGAGAAATCGAGGGCTTAATTGCTGCAGGACAGTCGATCGTCATTGTTAATCAGAAAGTGCTACGTGTCGATTCATGGATCCCATACCATCCCGGGGGTCACAAAACCATCCAACACATGGTCGGCAAGGACGCCACCGATGAATTCACCGTGTATGCACACGATCAATGATGTAGGGATGTAGCTCAAACTAACTTGTGGGGCAGATTCCACTCAGAGGAGACCATCAAAATGGCCGATCGGTACCAGATCGGCCGGGTAGAGGGACGATGGCGGAATTTTGTGCCTCCCATCCAGGGTGGGCAGTTCAGACCGTATCTGGACGACAAGGCACCTTCAGACACCAAGCAAAATGCTCCTAATCCTTCTGTCATGGGCCACAATGAGCCAACTGACAATGGAGATGGCCGCCTCAGTCCAGTTAATCAAGCAGCGACCGAGCTCAACACCAAAGAAGCAATGACCTTCCTAGACAGCCAAACTAAGGAAGAAATTAGCCTCACCCTAACCCGCTACCCATCCCTCGACGAAGCGACCCAAGACGACATCATCAAAAGGTACCAACATCTCCATGACCAAATCCAAGCCGAAGGCCTCTACAACTGCAACTACATGGCCTACGCGAAAGAATTCGCACGCTGCTCACTGGTCTTCACCACCATGCTCCTCTTCCTCCATTATGGCTGGTACTGCACCAGCGCCATCTTCCTCGGCTTCTTCTGGTCTCAACTCGTCTTTTCCGCCCACGACGCCGCCCACATCGCCATCACTCACAACTTCACCATCGACAGCCTCATCGGCATGATCATTGCTGCCCCCATCGGCGGCCTCTCCCTGGGCTGGTGGAAACGCACCCACAATGTCCACCACATCGTAACCAACGCCCCCGAACACGACCCAGACAACCAACACCTCCCCTTCTTCGCTGTCAACCACCGCTTCCTGGGAAACCTCTTCTCCAGCTACCACGAGCGCCTCATGCCCTACACAAGGGCAGCCAGCCGACTCGTTCCCTACCAAGCCTACCTCTACTACCCCGTCCTTATGTTCGGCCGCTTCAACCTCTACGTTCAGTCCTGGATCTTCCTCATCCAAGGCCAAGGTCCCCGTAAAGGCCCAGCCTGGTGGCAC